ATATATATATATATGATTAGAATAACTGTAGAATATTAAAAAATTAAAATCAAAGAAATAAGAATGGTTTACCAAAATTATACAATATATTATGTACATTTACACGTGAATTTCTTGCCTGAGAACAAGTGACGACAGAGCCTCATTACCATCGTGTACAAAAGAAAAATAATTATAGTTACAATAAACCAATAAAAATTTTATGATTTCTTTTACCTCTCAATCTTGATTCTTCCAACTTCTAAGCGTGATGACATGCTTCAAAACTTTATGATCGTTCTCGCGAAGGTGGAAATATTTCTGGACTTTGCAACAGACATGTAATTGAGGGTACCAAGTGTTAATGAACATCAGAAAATATCGGTCTGTTTCGATGAAGTTTTCCATAAATATTTTTAAAAGAGAAAAAATAAAAAATAAATTTCTTCATAAGTTAAAACTAATTTATTCACAAGTTAAAAGTAAGATTTTAAAAAAGTTAATAGGAAAAAGTTTCTACAAATTAGCTTTATATATATACCAATTTTAACTCATGAAGAAGCTTATTTCATTTTTGTTTCATATATATTTTTCCTCTTTTAGAAATGTTTTTGGAAAAATTTACTCAAACAAATCCATTAATCACTTCTGGAAGAGAAGTGATGAATTAACGACAAGGTATAACATTATGAGATTCCTTAACATTGGCATTGCTTTGTTCGGAAGTATCGCTGTCAAAAGCAAAACAAGAAGCAGAATGAAGCTCAGTCAGACACCAATAAATATATTTATGAAACTTACATTTATGATTGACAAAACTAATACCCGATTAATTTCTGAATTTTGTTAAAAATCTGTGCGCTAATGGAGGCTTGCATCATGCGACATCTATTTTTTGTTGTGTCTCTATCACCAGCTGAATTACCCTACAGAACACAAACAATTGAAACAACGTATGAGGGACTCACCCTTATAACATTGTTTTTTTACTCTTCACCAAGCAAGTGCTGGCTCATAAATTATGCTTCATGATGCCGAAACGCTAACATTTTTTTTCTTGACATACCCTCTCAGTGGATGAAATTCTTGAGTCTGATTTTCCATATGTAGAGTCTATTTTCAAACTAGTGGAATGCACATGAATTTCAACCAATTAAAATATTGGCACTTACTTCTGGTCCTAGGTTTCCTCTAGGATATGATTTTGGATGAACTAGAATATCTTGATCATGCAAATTCTGCACAAAAGCATGCTTAAGAAGAGTTGCTGCAGATGGTCGATCAGCAGGGTCCCTTTGGAAACATTGCTGGAGGAAATCCTTTCCCACTGAAGATAAAGTTTCAGGTATAGGTGGGGAATTTTGCAGTACCTTGAACATGGCTGAAGGCTAACAAATAAAACATAACCACGTTATTAAAGTGAAGATTTGGGATATCTAAGGGATGCAAGGATATTCAAATACGTTAGCATATGTCAAAGTAGGATAATCAACCCACCCAACCAGAGAAGTAGAATATGTCAAAATTAACCTATCTAATTTATATATTTGTGTAGCACTCCGCTCCCCCGCACCCAAAAGAAACAAAAGAAAAAACTTCTATGTTGAACCAACAATTTACAAGCACAAGGCTTGACCATAGTGAGTCAACAAGCATAAGAAGGTGCTCACCCCTTCAACTTCACTCCAAGGAGGTTTTCCTGTCAACATTTCTATAATCGTGCACCCTAAGCTCCATATATCAATGGCCTTGACAACATCAGGATTAGATTCATTCTTTATGCCACCTTTCACCACCTTCAATGGACAAATTGGAGTCAAAAGGGCATGTCATTACCCATCCAAGACACTCACTATAGACGATTTAAGCAATAAAATACCTCTGGAGCCATCCAATAAGGACTACCCTTTAGAGAAAGATCATATGAATTCCCCATTAGCTGGAAAGAGCAGATTCGTCAGATAGCAAGTTCACCAGAAAGTCAAACAAAAATTAAAGACACTAACTTCAATAATAATGCAAACCATAAAGACAAATAACATGAATGAGAAGGTTATAACCAGATTAGCAGAATAGCTACATATCTACCTAACCAAAGGTGTGTGTATATAACTATATATATATATTTAAAATATAAGTATAGAGTTTAAAAAGTAAAAACTTACAATTTTTGCCAGCCCAAAATCTGCAAGCTTGACAATGCCTGATTTATTGACCAGCAAGTTTGCACCTTTGATATCTCTGGAGAACCAAACCAACTATTTTAACAAACTTCAAATAGGCAATGCCAATCAGATTTTATCAGCAGGATAGAATGGTTCCTTTCATTAAACATCCTTGTCACCTGTGGATGGTTTTGTTACTATGTAAGTAAGCTAATCCAGAGAGAATATGCCTCGTAAAGTTGCGAACCACAGATTCTGTCATAGCTCCACAATGTTCACGCATAAATTTACTGATTGACCCTGGATGGACATACTCCATATATATGTACAAATGATCGCCAACCTGAAAATACAAATGCTTCAAAACGTCAATCTAATTTACTATCACAAATATCCTTAAGTTTTCTTTAGATTGTAGCGATTATGTTTGTAACAAGAAGCTAATAACCAACAATTAACTCACTGTTTCACTTCCATAATACTGCACAATGTTGGGGTGGTGTAGTTGACGGAGAATTTTGATTTCCTGGAACAAGGAACTTTTCAGAATAACAGCCTAAAAACCGTCCATTTGGCAAATGTACAAAAGAAAAACAAACACAACGGAAAAGGAATATAAAGAGTTAAAGATCTAGAAATAGAAACTTGCATTGGAATTCAAAATTCTTCAGAAACTGTACGACAGTACAATAGAGCACAAAAACTAGTGCTGTTGTAAGCTAGAGTGAATTGTATTGACAGTAATTTATTGAAGAAAAAAACAAAGATTTTGTACTATCTAGAAAATAAATCTAGGTAACAAGGTAGATCTTGTAAAGCCACATTGGAATATCACATCGGTACAAACATATCATCCTACTTGGACTCTAGGCTAGCTATCTTGACTTTTCTCTTTAGAAAGCAATTTGTGGATCATTTTTCCTAGTTATGAGAACAATGAATTGGAAAACACAATGTAGTAAAGTAACAGAAGAAACCCAGACTGGAGGGAAAGATGGAAACAAGTCAAAGCCGTCCATTGCCAATATTATAAAAGATTAAGGATTAAAATAATATTCCTTTTGAAGTTCCAACTAAACATTCCAACTTTCCCGGAGCAGGTATGAAATTAGCTTTTGTGTTCCATTCACATTAAAATAGTTAACTTGCAGTGCTAGATGGTTTAACTCCACTGATAATTGTAGAGCAATAGTTAGGGTCAATCAAAAATGGAGTTGACTGGTATATTCTTACCATAAGCTCAATACTATTTTCTCGTATCCATATTTTTCAATAAAAAGATTCTATATGTATAAAAATAAATCAGGGAAAGACCTGCTCCAGTTGTTTTATGCACTCAGCAGAAGAAGGATCATCAGGAATTAAATTGACCTCCTTCATTGCACACGACCCTCCAGTTTCTCTTA